ATTTCACATGGCTGAGAGAACTGCAACAAAGAGGCAGAAAAAGAAGAGAAAAACAGGTGAAGAGGAGGCTGAATGGTGCGGTCCCCCTGACTCCACTTATAATAAATACAGTAAAACATGCTCTCTTTAGACGGAAAGTGACCAGACAGTTTACGGCTTACGTCCTCTCTCTCTTTTTTACAGGTTTCATCCCTTTCCCTACCTTTGCAGTTTCCATCTCTTCACATCTAAGAGTTTCCACCTTCTAATGGCCATATGATGATTTTATTGGCCTTTGAATTTCTGAGTCTTTCTATTCAGGATACCTCTCTGCACAGAGATGAAGTTAAACACATGAAAATATATTGGAGCAAAATCCTGAAGCATCTAAAATCTTTATTAATACCTTTATTAATTCTAAAACACAAAGAATCAAATATCATTTAGAAAATCTCAAGAACTTTAACCTGGAATTTGAAGAACTGTAAGGAAAATTAAACACTTAAAGCAACACTGCTTAAATGTTGATTAATTTGAGGCTCATTTAATGATTTCTCAGGTCCGTTTTCAGCACTAGGTGCTTAATGATGCTCCACAGAGGCTGCTTTTCTCAGTCTCCCCCTATGTAACCTGAGAGGGTTGGATCCATCACTGAATGGGTCATGTGACACTTTACAGCAGAAAGGAGAGCTAACTTTAAACTTTGGTTGTAACCAACAAAACAGATCTAACCCTCACCTAAGCAACACATATTTCTGGTTCTCTAATGGTTGAGGGAAGAATGGGGTTTTGTATTTACCAGGAACTTCATAACTTCTCAATGTGCTGCTCCAAAGCGGTCTGCTAGCAGATTCCAAAAGACTGAGGGAGACTTTTCAGTTTTACAACACTATAGTGTTGCTAGGGGCTTTCAGGGTCATTTAACTGGACGTAACAGGCCTAGCACCCCTAGTGCCTAAGTCTTACAGTGAGGCAAGAACAAGTCCAGTTCTTTTAACCCAATAACTTTCCCCGCCCCGTCCATAGAACATAGGCCTTCAAATCTCATTCTGTCACAATAAGGCTGTTGTCTACCATTATAATGTATTATATGGCAGTTTGGATGCAAAACAAGGGTTAAAGAGCAGCAGCAGATTCAATATTTGCTTTTTAAGGTGTTTTAAAGTACTTATTTTTGGGCGATTTTTACAGTTAACAGGTTAAGTTTGCAGAAAAGGCATGAGCTCAGAATGTAGTTATAAGATAGTAATATGATACTTTATCTTATCTTATTGAAATATTACTCAAAAATGAAACATTTGATCAGGTTTGCCATTGTCTTTGTATTATAAATGGGAGAAAAAAAAATCCATACAGCAAAACAGGCTGGTGGCAGCAGGATGAGGTAAACACCCAAATACGGCGGGCAGAAGCAAAATGGACGCCACACATTTCAGATTTGGTAACTTAAAATTAGTTTTTCTGCAAAGGACTTAGGAAAGGTCAAGGTATTTTAACCCGATGGATGGATGTATATAAAAATGTTACAAATCAATAAAACTATAAATCATTTTGTCATGATCTTGGGGCTGATAATTGGCTTGATTGTTTATTCCATTTACCTGCCAAGCTCTGCCAAGTTTCTCTTTGTCGCTCATCTCTTTCACCTGCTTCAGCCTCTATTTAATCAGCATTCAACTAGTCATCAGTGGCAGATTATCTGAGCCTTTGATGAGAGTTTTCTTGCGTACCTGATCTTGTTCTGATTGCCTGATCCCTAACTGTTCTGCCTTTGGACCTCTGAACCTCCCTGTTGCCGTCCTGATCTGTTTGCCTGACCTGTCTTCGGACTCCTGTAGAATTCAGCCTTTTTACCCTCTAGATTATCCTGCCTTTCTTCATCTGCTCGGATTTGATCTCCTGCCTCTTTCCCAGCCTCAACGTTTGGGAATCTCTGGGCAGCGTCCACTGCGTGTTGCTGGCAGCCGACCGGCTGGAACCAACCTCTTCCTCTGGGCACAGACTGAACTTTAAACCTGGTTAGTGACTCACATGTTCATAGTTCATAGTGTGTTCTCTTCCCACAGAGGTTCCTGCCTTAGACACCCTCGCTACCCACTGCTGATCCGTTACTTTCAATAAACAAATTATGAGATATCATGCTGTCTTTCTGCTTGTATACTGAGTCTTGACAGATTTCTTGTCATGCATCACTTTGTTTAAAAGCTCAGCCAAATTGTTTTTCATAATAAAAGTTCTATTTAAATACTTTCTGATTTATAACAAATGAAGCATCTTAAACAAATGGCTTGATTCCTTGCAAAGATGGTACAGATAAAATAAAATAAATGCTGATTTTCCTTCTTTGTTAATGTTTCCTTTTCCTCCAAAAAATCTTGCAAATATCTGCTCCTAATTCCCCTATAAAGTAGTTCCAGTAATAGCATTTTGCCTGGAGTGTCATCTTTTCAGCACCGTACCATTTACACTCCCATTACCTGATTCCTTTTAACAGTCCTGTCACATGCGATAATGCTTTGACAGATGACAAGAAAAGAGAGATATGGGAACCACATGTTAATCAAACTCTGTTTCCAGTCTTGCCGCTGTTGTGTGGACACCCAAAGCAAAATGTTACTTAGGTTAACCGTAGTGGCAGTTAGAGGCATGAGCTCTGAGTATAAACAAACGCTGGAGTAAATAATGAAAGATTGGCACCACGTATTGTTTTGATGTTGCGGAAGGGGCTTTTTTTGTGTGTACGGTTAAGTTTCTACAAAACAGATCATCAGCCAGAAGAGACAAACTCAGATTTAATCCGTTTTCTTTTTTTTATATCACCGAAGAGGACGACAAATAAGGATATATTCTCCCCTCCTGAATAGATCATCATCTCCAGCGCTTCCTTTCTCTGATCAACTCTCATTCCCCGACCTGATCTTATCCTTACCGTCTTTAACTACATCTTCTAGGCCTCCCACTTCTAAACACATCCATTCCTCACTGTAACTCAATATGTGGCCAATCAGCGAGAGGCTTTAGTGTTTTGCTCACTGCAGCCTTTACAGCTGTGGGGGCCTCGCTGGAGAGTCACACAGCTGCAGCACCTTCCAATGTCCTGTCTCTCCAGGGCCGGCGCGCATAAACAGAGCGAACATCTGCACTGTAGGTGGAACCGCTGTGGGAGTCCGAAAGAATGAAGGGGGGAGATAAGCGGTGATGGAGAGCAGGGGGGGTATGAATGAGGGGGATGTGAGTTAACATTAAGGAATGATCATGTAATGTAAAAATAGCTCTAAACCAACTGAAATTCAAGCCGTTCTGTAATTATTATTACAAATATTAATCACAATAAATAAAAAAGAACGAATACGTTTGAAACTGTAATTTCTGCAGCTTTTTATGACCTAATTATTTTTTAAACACATTTTTACTGAATTCTTGTCTCATATCGCAAAAATCCAGATGTTGAGGAATAGTTTGGTTTGCAGCTGCTTCTTTTAAAATAAATCTAAATTCAGCAATAACAGCTACATTCATCTATCAACAAGGATGTCATTCATCAGCTTGGAAAACATGATTTACAGTCAGTGCAAAGGTAAGAAAGACAATCACTAAACTGGAAGGTTATAAGAAACATGTCTTACTGTTGCTATGACAGCCTGGTGTTTGGCTTCAGCAGAAAAAAAAACACTGGGAGAAGTTTAAAAGAAGAAAATGGGATCCATCCTTTATTTAAAGCAATTATTTGGGCAGCGAGGCAGTGGATAGAGAGACAGGAGATGAGTGATAGGAGAGGGGAAAAAAAGAAGAAGGATGTTCTAACCCCCACCGAGGCCCTGCAGGCTCAGTAGCTGCGACAAACTGCCAAAATATAACCTCATCTAGGGTTGGAGGCACCTGGCTATTCACACCAGAGCATGGAATGACTTCCACAGCTGTCTGAGCGTGTATTACAAGTTTGGAGAGACAGCAGAGGTCTGGGTCGTTCAGTAACACGACTCCTGACAAGGGAATCACAGTGGCACAGAGCCCAGATCTAAAACCGTTTACTTCTCTTTCAGTGCAGGTGATGTTAGGCAGGGATCTGGGACAGAGGATATGTGGATTCTCTTCTCATCTTACATCTGTAAAAAAAATCCCAATACAACCTAAGCAATAAATATATACATGCTACATGTAGCCGCTTCAGATGTCGCTGGCGTTGCTTTGTTGAGGGATTGCCATCAAAATTAAACTCTACGGAGTGAGTTTTGTTCCATTATTGTTGCAAGCAAAAAAAATAAATAAAAATTAGCAAATTGAAATAAAAAATCCAGAGATGAAACTGAAATTAATTGTTATCAAAAACATTTTGAAAGGAAATTTGCGGTTTTCTTAGAATGTTTTTTTTTTCATAAAAATCTCCGGTTTTTATTTTTGGAAATGTGTTTACATTTTTATTTTGCTTTTTTAAGAAATATGCAAATTTTTTTTCAAGTTTCTGTTTCACTGATTGAGTTTTACAAATTTAATTATTTTTAAATTTTGTTTCACAGATAACATTTTCTTCAAGCTCAATAAAAATGCTGTTGCTAAGGTCCAGCAAACCAATAGAAATGTGTCTTCATTCCTCACTCCAGAGGAAAACCCGCCCCTAAAAGCTTAGAGAAGGGGATCTGGAAAAAATTATACTGGAAAAGAAAACAATTCTTAAACTCTCTCTCAGAAAAAGACATTGAGAAAAAAAATATATAACTGTAAAAAAAAAAATAAAGAAACAATAATTTGAAAAATTTTATCTGAAAACTGCAAAAATAGACAAAAAACAACAACTTGAAATAAAAAAAAATATAACAAATGAATGTAAATTTCTTTTGAAAAACAAAATCTAAGTTATTAAAATGTTTTTTAAAGTTTCATTTCTGGATTACAGGTTTTTGTTTCTTTTGTCTATTTACAAAACAGATTCTTTGCTTGCAACAATAATGGAACAAAATTCCCTCCATAAAACGGGGTTCACGTGAAGAGCAGAAACAAAGAAGCATGTGAACTCAGACTACCTGTAGGACGTCTCCTAAATAAGCTGTACTTATGTCCGGGTCTTCTGTGGTGTTGAAGGGAATAGGTGTGATCCTGACGAAGGTGAGGACACGAGGTTCAGGGTACCTCCACAGCATCACCCCAGGGCTGTCCTCCGTCTCACTGTAAAACACCACCTCATTGGCTCCTGGCAGTTTCTGGGATCCTGAAAGAATTGCGACAATTACACAAAGTTATGGTGCCAGGACAAACAAGGAGATTTAAAAAAACAAAAAGGAAATATTTAATCATAAAAAAGGGGGAAAAAAAGGAAAATCTGGGGGTGCAACAAGTCCGCCATGACTTCAATCCTTTTGCTTTTTCTCAAAGACTCACTAAAGAACTTATTAATGATTAAGTGGAAAAGAATTTTAGAGAAAAACGGTTAGAAAACACAGATGGGTTCCAAATTATACAAGAAAACATCCGATCTAACAAGTTTCACAGAGTCAAGAAAAGAAATCTACAATATTTTGTTTAAATGACATCAGAACACAAATTCAACGACATTCTACAGGAGTTGGACAAACAGGGGCTGGTTTATTTATGTTAGGATTTTTATCAGAATAACCAGAACCCAGCATTTAAACAATCTGGAAACGTTTTTTTTCCCCAAACTTGGTTCATTCCTCAGGATGACAATAATCTTTACAGATGATTATGGTCGTTCCCTGAGTCTGCCTGGTAGAGGGGCGTGACGTGGTCTTAAAGGGCCGTGCATCCTTTTTAAACTTTAATTAATATTTGAAATGCAAAGATCTTAAATACCATATTTGGACTTCCAGTTTTGACATTTCCTGCTATTTCCAGTGATTTTTAGAGACTATTGCACAGTGCAGCAAAAGAAAAAACAGAAATCTGGAGACCCTGTTCCTGCATTTTCTAAAATGTTTACGTGTGTCAGAAAGTCTGCGTAAACAAAGCACCTTAGTAAACATTTCTGCGTTTCTGCAAACATCTGCTGGTTAAACTGTGCCCAGCACCTGCGATAGCTGGATGTCACAGCACCTAAACTTTGGAGTGATGTTTGACTTTCTTCTAAGCTGCTGTTTGGGACTCGTGTTTATTCAGGGAAAAGGGATAAAGGCAAACAGGGAACTGCTGCTTTGTCTGACCCCTGGGGTGGAAACCCCCCCTCTGCTCCTCGCTAACTTCCCTCTACATGTCAAACCCTTCAGGCCTTTTCGCTGGAAACTTCACACTAGTTAAAAAATGTTGATGAAAGAAAAAAACAACAAGGTTTTACTGTTAGTTTGGTTTGCTCCCCCATCTCCTCCAACCGCCTCTGCTTGGTTCATGAAACCCAGCCATCTTTGAATGGGGTCCTGGGGGACCAATAGCCCGTCTCTGCACTTCGGGGGCACTGACTTTTCTCACTGTTGACAACATGTTGCAGACAGACTGTCCTCTCGGTTCCAGTTCACCACTGTAAGTTCTCCTGCCTCAGCCAGAATATTAAATGCATCAAAGCGCAGAGGAACAGTGCAACAAACAAAGACTCAACCACAGCTGACAGAGTGGATGGCTGGTCTTCAGCCAGAGAGAAGTTTGATCCTCTGTGTATGTTGATGTGAGTGTCTGTCTGTGTGTGCAACACAAAGCACAAAGATCAGGAATAAACACAAAGTTACTTAGAGTGGAAACAGGCGGACATGCCTGATGAAACTTCTTTTAACAGAGACCTTTGATCCAACTCAGTTTTAAGCTGATGTGCATCTTTAGTGCCTTTTAACTTCTTTGCTTTAAGTTTCAATTAAAGTTCCTTTAAATGTTTTTATATTTTTTGTTTTGGACTTTTATACATAAAGGTGAATGGATGCTGCCGTATTAACTTAATTCTGACTCTTGAACAAGGCAGGATACCTTCTAAAATGCACAGACGGAACTTTCTGAAGGACTGGTTTGGACATGTCCCCACCGATAATTCCTGCTGTTTTCCCCTTTCTGCTCATTTACTTTAGCCACAGGTAACAGTTGGGTGCAGCTATCTGTGTTCAGAGCGTTTTGAGTCAGTGTTTTTATTTCTTCCTCTCTCCTGCTGCTCCCGTGTCCCGCATCTCGGCGTGACATCATCGGATGTGTCACTTTGAGACATCTGATTTGCGGTCGCATTTCACTGCTTAGAGAGTAGCTGCGTGGTTGGAGGAGAGACACACAGCAGCACTCAGTGAGTTTTAACTGGCAGATACTTCCATGTTTAGGTAAAAGTTAAAAGATGGGTTGGGTAAAAAAAGTTTGAGATGCCACCGAAAACTCTGTTCGATTGACATACAGTATGGAGCTTTTTCAGCTAAAAATGGCAACAGATTATACATTTATAAAAGTTGGTATCACAACTTGGCTTCTCAGAGGACCATGACTCCGGGCTACAGGTTAAAATTAACTAATGTTTTCTTATTGTATAGAAAGAATCAGACTGCAGAGCTTCTACATATCTTGATTTTTTGTTTCTGGCATCATTATATTAGTAAATAGGTTCATAAATCTTTCTAAACAGAGCACAGAGAGAAGTAGGTAGAGCTGCAGATTTAAAGGTGAAACAGATTTACTGGGATATGCAACATGCACTAAAATATATTTCCAAGTTTACCAGAAAGTTTACAAGAAAAAAATATGCTATGCTATATTCAAAATGCAGCATATCCATATTTTTCTGGATGGATGGAATTGAAAGGGTATTTCTAGGGATGCATGATTTTGGCATCGGAATCAGCTGTTCATTATTTTTAATACAATAATAAAAACATTTTTGAGCTCTGTATATGTAATGCAATAAAAGGCATCTCTCTAACTATCTATACATATCAGTGTATTATGGTTCTCTTGTGTTGTGAACAATAGGAAAGCATTCAATAAATATATATTTGAGCTCATTTTTGGAAAATACAAAAAACCTAATGAAAGTGTTGGGGTTGAGTAACTGTAGGTCCATCAGCCCCCACCCTTAGAGTGTCCCCACCAGCTTTCATCTCAAAGTTACACCTTTGCTAAAAGGCGTGACACACAGGGAGTAACTAACGACGGTAGCTGCTGTAAATCCTGCTCTCTGGTCCCTCGTCTCTGAGGAATACTGATTATGAAAACTGGTTATGAAATTGATGGAATTCAGGCCTTTTTTAACCAGTCTGTCAAACAAGGCATGAAGGATGAAGACTAAGATTGCTAAAAGCATCAATACTCAAACCCTGGATCTGAAGAAAATAATAATTAGACATGGTGTGATTAAAGACTAGTGTTGTTTGCCTGTTTTTGCTACAATCAAAGATTAACACCTGAAAAAAACCTTGAAATATTGTCAAATTGGGTTATATTTTTCATTTATTTTCACACTTAAGGGCTGGTTATCCTCCCGCAGCAGTGTGTCGCAGTGAGCTGGTCTCAGATATCTTTGAATTATGCCTAATGTTGAAGCGTGGTCTGCGCTATGTTATTCCACGCTACAGCGCAAGAGGGACAATCGGGAACTAGCTGTGGGTCGAGATACGGCTGAGGAGGTGAGGAAGTGGGGGCAAGTTTGTGCGAATACTGAGGGGATGACGATGAAAAAGAGCGGGGATCCAGGTGGAAAAAGGGTCCCAGCGTTCTCGCGCACCTCGCTCTTCCAGCTGGTCCGTCTTCAAGAGTCGTTTTCCGCAATGGCGGTGATACAAAAGAAACAAGCTGATGAGGTGGCAAACAGGAAATACGCATAGTGTAGGGCGGATGTAGATTTGACCAATCAGAGGCCTCCTGTCTGCGGCACTGTCTGCGGTCACCTACAATTTATGAGAGGTGCAGCAGAGTGTTTGTGGAAGGGGGGGCACATTTGCATTGACTGTGACACACGCAGACGACCTGGTTTCTGAGCATAAATCAGCCTTTATTTAACTAGCATCAGTTATCCTTTTGTTCAATGTTCAGGTTTAAAAAGCCGAGTGTCATTTCTTATCGCCATGATATCAAAAATGTTATTGAGTGTTGAATATTTTCCTGGGGTTAGATATCGAGTTTAAAATGTTAGCATCGTTACAATGCTAATATCACAGCTGATGTTATTGCTGGAATCTCTCCTATAATTGGTCAACCAATAAAGCCTTGATTGGTTTCAGTCACATCTGACAGGAAAAAAATATAAATATATTTATTTTTTTACTTTGCTTGTGACACAACAGGTAAAGTTGCTTGGCTGGAGGAAGGCATACGATTATCACCTCATCCCACAAGTTCCCCTGGAAATAAATGTAGAGGGAGGGACATCACCTCTTAGAGCAGGTGTGAAACTTAAACCGCTGTTAGCGAACATTTACCTTCAATCACAGTCTGTAAGAGTTTATACCACTCCAAAGAAGTGAAAAAATTAAGGTAACAAATACACGGTTTTGTAAAATGCTAGTATATGGCAACAAAGTCAGCAGTAGGCTGTAAAGGTCCTGTTAGTAGATTGAGCAGAATGTAGTTTAATGTCAGCAGAAGTACATCTGCTCTCTAAATGGACCCAGTGGTTTGTTAGAAAACATTCGATTGATGAGGCAGAGAGGTGGGGATTAGTTTAAAGACATCAGGGTTTGATTAAAAACAACATTCACGGATTTAAACAAAACATATATGTAAAAATCTAATCAACCCATCATGTAAAACTGGTGGTCAACGAGAGCTGGTGAGTCTAGGAGAGCATCAGAGATGCTCAGAAAATTGTTCAAAGAGAGTGAATTATGGGGTGAGATAACTGTCAATAAAAGCTAAATGATTAAATCTCAGCTAATAAAAATAAATAAATTTGAGTTTGCATTTGTTCCTTGTTTCTAAATCATACATGAGGTGTAAAATGTTTAGAGGACACAAATACAAGTTACAAAGCTGGAACTTTGTCAATCTACAATTAAAAATCATAAATCTCCGAGCATGAAAGCTGATGAAGCTGCTCACCAGTTGGTGGAACTTTGTTATTTGTATTCTCACAGATGAAACATCTGATATTCCATCTATGTATGATTGGACAGAGAAGAACAAATGCAAATCATTAGTTTATTTACATTTATTGACTTTTATAAATTCATACAAATGCACACATTTTTGATAGTTATTTGACCCCATAAAGAACCAGGGGAAAGAAGATGCCCTGGGCAGATGAAACCAAACTTGAACTTTCTGGCATCATTCAAGGTGCCGTGTGACGCATGATCCCAGCTTTACACCAGAGCCTCCATCTGATGAACAAGATGATAAAAACCCAAACTTTTGTTCCCCTTTTTTTAATCTACTAATCTTTTTAATGAGTCACTTTCATTCCCTTGTATTATTTTGTGTTTCCATTATGCCACTGCAATGTACCCATCGTTTTCATAGATTATATTAGAATGGCCCAATTTTTCCTTCTGCTTTACATTTATGAATTTTGTATTTTTCAAAAACTGAAAATCACTCAAAAAGACTGTTGATATCAGGGAGAGTGAATACCTTCGCTCTATCTGGACTGTTTACAGTATGAATGTTTACCTGAGTCCTGAATGTATTGAAAGTTTCCTGTTCGCAGATCATCTGAGCTGTGCTCTGTCCTCGGAGACGGAGCGACCGGAGAGGGAGGAGGCTGGGTATGACAGGCCTTCCCTTTAGACCAACTAGTGTTGGAATCCTCTTTGTGGAGATGGAGGTATTTACGGAGATGCTCCTCCACCAGCATCAGACAGTTGAAATGTTCCTGGCCCCAAAAAACCTGTTTGAAAGAAAGAAAAATACATAAAAGCAGAAATGAACAAAGGAAAGGAAGTTCTCCTGAAAAATCAAAGTAACAGAATAACCCTGACTTTGATTTATTTTCCTAAAATGTGGATTATCACTTCCATTGCCAAAGCCAGCAGTAAAGCAGTGAGGTTGGGCTCCACATTTCCACTTTCAGGTTACACAACACAGTCTGATGTTCTCCCCGTTCACCCGTGGCATTCCCCTTCCTTTGCTCCGTGAACGCGGCTGGGATTTGAACCGAGGGTTAGGAATCTTTGAGTCAACGACTTCACACACACAGCTGCCTGCGTGCTTGCCCACCACTTAGTAACTCGCAGGAGTGGGTTGTAACTAAACTCCTAAAAAACAGGAAAATTTGGGGATTTTTTTTTTTTAGCCCTTTGAGTTTTTTTGGAAACATTATCCTAAAAGACAGAACAAAAAATCGGAAGAAATTCCGGTGGTTTTGGTGTGGCGATTGATCAAAACAGCACAAACTGTAACATTTGGAGAGGTAATTGTATGATTACATATTAAGTGCTGAGTTGGAAGTGATTTTCCTGTTAATGGACATGCAATAAAAGCATTAAGGAAACCTGAACATGAGCAAGGGTGTTCCCCCCGTGGAAGTAATGTGGAATATTACTTAAAGAAAAATATGTGAACATTTAGTCACATTGAAAGGGGACTTTTCACTGTGTGCATTATGCAACTTCTAAGAGGGAAAAAAAGAGCATAAGATAACTTCACTCTATAAATAGATCTAAAATATTCCACTACTTAACCAGAGGAGGTGACTTAGAGCTAAAGTAGTCTCCACTGGAGCTCTAAATGAAATAAATACACATAGCAGATGATTTCAGATTTATCATTTAGTGAAAGACTCTTCATTGCTCTCACTTTCTACCAGGTGCAGAGGCAACGATCCAACACCGACCTCCAGGAGCTGCAGCTGGGCTGGGAAATAAATCTAATGATTGAGGGAGATGAACTGAAGTCCCACAAACCTGCAGCAGACCTCCCTTCAGGTCCAGGAGCAGTTTGGGAGGGCCGGGCTCTGGTCCAGGGCTGCCGCTGTGCCGACACCACCGAGCTTCAATGGAGCTGCTGCAGGAAAAGGGTCCCAGGAGCACGTGGCTCCGGTCCCTCAGTCCAGTTTTCACCAGCGCATCTTTCAAGGTCAGGAGGACGGAAGCAGACTCAAGCTGGTCTGAGGAGAAAATTGAGAGACAAGATTTACTAAAATCTATTTTGGGTAGAAGAGAATTAAAAGCTCAGATTTTAACTTCTGATGAAACATATGCATAAAATAAAAAAACACAGAAGTTCATTCATTTGGATAAGAAAAAAATAAAAGTTTTAACAAGAATCTTTATTTGTACAGCTTACAGCATTAGCTCTGTGCCACTAATGCACATTTTAGATTGTACCGTTTCAGGATGAAAAATGTCATGTACTAATATGAGGACAGCAGAAAAACAATTTGCAACTAAACCTTCTTTTAACTGGAGTCTGAAGGACATAAAAAGAGAAAGAAAAAGACAAGAGAAGGCTTTAGTTGAAATGACTGAAACTGAGTGAAGCTGCAAACAGAGGAGAGCTTATCATCTCAAGAAAAACACAAACTGATGAGTCCACTGGGAAAATGATGACTAATACCATCCTAGCTTCTTTGTAATATCGAAATAAACATTTTTTTCTCTGGATCCAGATTTGGAAAAGAAATAAAAGAAAAAAGAGGCTTACATCTACTTTCTTTAAGCTGTGGTATACATTTGCAATCTATATAAGACAGATTTGAAAGAGATTCCCTCAATAGATAAAGTGTGAAAGAAAAAAAACCAATATAAACATCTAACTAATGTAAACATCTTGGATAAGAAAGCCTTTCAAAGATGAAAAATAAAAAAAATATAATGTTGATTCCGGAAAAGAACTTTAAAGAGACATTAGAATTTATGTGAAGGTGTATTATCCTTGGAAAGGCTGAAATAAACTCAACTTCCTGACAAGAACACTCTTCAGTGTGGAAGTAGGTATTCTGAGGAGGGAGATTGATTCTTAGCTCATCTCAGTGTCAGTGGGATGTTTTGAAAATGATATGAGGGCACATGAAAGAGGATTGTCAGCTGCAGAAGACAGGAAGTAAGACTTCAGCCCATGGCAGAAAGTCAAAGCTGTTATTTCAAAATTACTCATCTTCATTCTTTTGAAGACAAATAGAAATATTGACATTCCTCCATCATCTATCCCTTGTTCTTTAAGGTTCCTCCCCCCGTGATCTCAGGCAGGCTTTTGGCAAAAGAGCAGAGTGACCTAAAACCTGGAAAGGTCACCAGTCCATTATAAGAAATACAGACACACCTACTCAGTACAGCAATTTAGTTACACCCATTATGTTAATAGTCATGTTTTAGGACTGAGGAAGAACGCCAGATTACCTGGAGAGGATCCACACATACGTACAGGGGGATATAGACAAACCCTAGGTCAGGCACCAGCACTGCAAAATAAGCCAGCATGCAGCCAATAAAGACAATATTTTAGAAACCACACAGCTAAGCTTTAGGCTTTAGGCAAGATCCGAGGTGCATCAATCCTCAGTGAGGGATTGCTGTAGAGTCAATGGCACAAAGAAAGTGAATATTTACTCTAGATGGTAATCCATGAAGACAGAATCCTGCAAAATCAATAACTGGATGGAATCAGCTGGTTTCCCTTAGAAACCTTTAAACCAATCTGACTGGATGATCCGATTGAATTGACTCTATAAGGTACCTTGAGATGACCTCTGTTGGGTATTGGAGCTTTATAAATAAACTGAACTGAATTCAGTTGACCTGAATTGAACTGAAATTAATACCTTTTGAAAAACTCTGGTAAATCAGGTTTAAATGCAGGGCTGCATACCACCGCCTGCTCTCTCCGGCTGTTTAAGGCCAACTCTACTCCCTGAATGAAAAAATCTAATGATTAATCTCAGAAAGTCATTGTCTTTATTA